CTTGTGCGGGTTTGATAAGTAACTTGCGTCAACATAACAAACAAGGCAAACATCATTCCGAGGATTAGGGGGTTGAATCCGCTCGAGATGCGTTGGGATTTGATTTGCCCAAATTCGTAGTACCTTCAGGGTACATCTTTAATACCAATTCAGTGGATGCGTGTAGGCACGGTGCTGCATCTTTACCAAGATCAACAGCGAATGAGATGTCCTGTCTAAATACAATGAGCTAAGTACAACGAAGTGCAAAGTTGAACTTAGATATGGAAGTTCAGATTCCATAACCTTTTCAAGGGTCTCATTTGCATATAACGTATGGACGATCATAGGTATACTCGAAAGTGACACCTTTAGGGTGTAGTTCGACTGGTAGACCAAAATACCATCAGAACAATGCTTCAACTTCAGGTCAAGGCATAAACGAGTTTTCCCAAGATCCTTCATCTCAAATTCCATCTTCAGGTGCGATGCAGTTTTCTCAAGCTCTTTCGGAGTCTTAGTGAGATTCGTGTTAACGACATAAACTATAACTCTAGCAATTTGGAATAAGACATCATAGTTTAACACGCAAGGGCATAATTCATATCCCTGACTGATCAAATAATCACTTAGACGGGTATACCACATCCGTCGGATTGTAAGTGAACGCCTCAAAACATGTTAAGAGGGTGTTTCGTGGTTTTGGAAATATTTGAAACAGTCCATGTAATTCTTCGGGAACTTACATGTGAATCTCCGTATCTATATCCCCATAGAGAAAACACTAACCACATTTCATAATGCTGCTATCAATCACATGACATTTGAGAGAAACCTTACACCATAAGGCGTGCATCATACCGCACTATTTCATTCATCTCATAACGTTTCTTTTCCCATTTGGAACACAACGAGGTTACCTTGGGCAGTGTAAGAACGACAAGTCCAATACACACTTTGGTAAAGAATTTGACTTTAGTTGTCCAATCAGTTCTACGTTGTCACTTAATTAATGGAACACGGTTTGATATCGTCACATTTCATTTATGTCGATAGCTACCATATAAGTGAAAACATCATCGATGATAATCTCATTTCAATTCCATTTAGCTCATCCAAATAGTATACTGGACCAAGAACTTTAAGTCTCGGCAGAAATCCAGATTAATCTCATGAGATGGAAATGATTTGAGACAGCAATCGAGTTTAGATTCATTGTTGTGCCGTATCTTCCTCTTCTAGGGAAGTGAATCCTATGAACCGAATGATCTGTCGTGCTCCAGGCCAGGACATATTGATTGGCTATCTGCCGGTGTACCAAACCGTCCAACAGGGGCGTTCAAACCGTCCAACAGGGGTGGCACACCCTCCAGGGATGTTGACTCGAAGTCTGTTAAGTACTTCTATCCTTGCAGGCATGTTTGCAGCTGGTAAATGATCTCGTCACTTTAGCTAGATCAGAGGAATGCGTCTGGGGCAACATTCTGAAATCTAGAATTCATCGCACTTGTTTATCACATTTGTGCGGTATAGGGATTAAGATGAGACATAGTGGGCAACGTCCACACAACTTCATGCCGTTCTACAGGAACGTTGACGTTCTTATCTCCCCCTAATGGCGGGAAGATTGTCTCATTAAAGTGACAATCCGCAAATGAGCGGTAAAGAGATTGCATGCAAGGGCTCGAAGAGAGCTAGTGTGAAGGAGAATCATGATCGACAAAAGATACACATCCTTCTTTGAGGACCCATGGTTGTACGTTGCAGTGGCGCAACTTGGCATATGGAATGCACACCCAAATGCGTTAAATACGAAAATCGCCAGGTTTGTACCCAGTAACCAACTGTAAAGTCATATAGGTTGGGTGGCAATGGGCCTCAAGGTAGACCAACATAACTACGTACAATGATTGCATAGCCCTAGGCAAAAACCAAAAACTTGGTACGTTTTCCAAAATTCGGGCTATCATTTAAATTGCGCTTTATGATCGCTAGGCGAGGCTATTTGGGGTGAACATAGGAATTCGATGTTCAATTATAAACCCAAAACACATGCAATACTTTATCAAAAACCATCGATATAAACTCTCCGGCATTATCCAGTCTCCCGAACCTTAAAGGATAAGTAGGGTGATGAACCCTTAATCGGCCGTGAGGTTTAGCAGTAATGTTTGTGGACAAACATGTGACCAGTTTGTCAATTCATCAACCAAAACCATAAGTATTTATATGGTCCACATTTTGGTTGGATTAGTCCACATATGTTCCCTTGAATCCACTGTGAAAAATGAGTCACTTTGTATCTTTGCTAGGGATGATTTAGAAATCAAATTTCCTAAAATGAGCGGGTTTTGGCAAAGTGTGCTTGTAGGCACAAGATCCTTACTTTGGGTAAAGAGATGTGTCGTAGCATCATTGTTTGACTGAAGTGTCCCAAAAGGAAGTGCTAAAACAAGTAAACTGTTCAATCACCCAGCTCCAGGTCGGCCACATGTGGTGTGTTCTCAGTTGGGAGAGAACCCATGGGCCCCAAATCAAAGCTTTAGGCTCATTTTTTGAGGTGGTGCAAAGATATTCCACTCTATTTTCTTCAGTGGTTCATTTATGATCATTGTCATCTCAAATATCCTTAAAAACTCAACGTTAGGGAGAATTTAAGGTCCCTTAAATGGTGATTCAGTACCATTCATACAACGAGGAGCGTGCCAATGCTCTTAATTAGGTTGGATAGACATGAAGTCATTGTTAGAGATGTGATTTAGGTGTAAAGTTTGTGTGTGTAGTACGCATTCATCCAGACAACTAACTTTCCCACATTCCTACATAATCACGTGTTTAATTGAATTGGTCACATGTATGAAGAAACAGGATTCAATTAACTCATAGTCGAGGACAATATCAATAAAATTATCCATAAGTAAAACATACACCAAACTTGAATCCAAGAACATGGAAAAATGTTCACAAAGTAAATGGTTTACTAAAGGGATTCGGCCAACAAGGTTATCCATGTCAAAATTATGCTCATCCAATGATGTTTGGTGGAGCAAAATTAGTCTCACATATTGACTACTAGAATGGTACATCTCAACAACATTGGTAGGGGCACGAATGGGTGCATAACCAATGATCTATTCCATCAAGACGGAAGCAGATTTTGTAGGGTTAAGGTTTGGGAATATTATCCCTTTATGCTTGAAGTTTTAGGTCTTAGATGCCAAAGATCATGCTTCGGGCATGATGCCACACATTGGCAGGCCCTGATTCTACCATATGTTGTACAAACTCGAAATTGGATTGTGAGATAATATGTCATTCGGTGTATCCCTACCGAAGTAGTGCATCACTATTCGATAGGCTTTGACCGAACTGGGCTGAGCTATTCGGTAGACTCCAGCCGAACTGGGTCCATACCTTTCTTTCACGTTTGTGGTAGTAATCAGATCCGAGAATTTGGCAAACTTCCCCTATCTACACTACTGCTTCAGGGGCGAGTTAAAAACATGGAAGAACGAGAAAAGTATTCTCTAGTCAAAATTCGATCAGATTTATAAACTTCAGAATTGTACTCATTCATGGACGTAATCATGATGTGCTTCAGGCAATGTCTTTCATGATTAGACAGTCCGTAGAAGCAAGCCAAAGAGCCATGGAATCCTCGTTTGGGAGGTACTTCTGTTTGTAATGCTTTAAGCATAGGTCTTCGAATGAAGATCATGGCAGAGGCTTATTCAACTCTTCCATGCCATTGTTGGCTTCAATGGTGTCTCAGCTTCTTGGTAGTCAAGTGGAGATTTATGTCTTGTACCCTACATAAAATGGTTTCTATTAGAAACGTCCAAATCAGGAAAATCGAACTTGTGACGGTTCGACAATCCACTGAATTGGAGGGAACAAGATTGTGATTGTTGCTATGGGAAGGAATCATCCATAAGCATCAAAGTTAGAACATTGGAGTTCTAAGCATGGTGTTCATGAAAAACGTCGGGTTTTCATGGGTGTATTGTTTTATGAAAACTTTGGGTTTCAAATGCACTAAATTTGAAACTACAGGTTCAAATTAGGTTATGAACATTTAGTTCATAAAAGAGAGGTTCCTGCAAGAACACAGAATGCAATATACAACTAAGTGTAGTTGATTTGAGGTTCTTCAGGAACTCAAGTGTGAGTGCTTCGGGACTACGAAAGTAAGTCAACGGTTCAAAGAAGAGAATTAAATTATTGAATCGTTAATGTCCAAAAGTGATATTCAGGTCAATAAGTCTGGATTCATTATCAGATTAATGGACTATAGGTCACTTTTAATTAATTTAATAAATCGGGCCATACAGGGTTGATTGTAGAAGCAAAATAATATTAACATACGGGTTAAAATTATTTAGAATGCTAAAATAATAACATTGGATTCAAAAAGTCATAGCCCAATAACATTGGGTTTTGAATATAGAGGGGTTCATGCATCATAGGGAATGTTTTCATGCTTCGTGGACATTTCAAATATCTTCTTTTATTTTAAGCGTACCTGATTAGCAGAAAACGAATAAGCCTTTGAATTTGGTGGATGATAGCCTCCTCCAACGATGCGTCAATTCCTTAGCTTCTGGCAAGAGCGTGCTGATAACGTGTTGTAGGCTTATTTGATTGACCGATCTAGGGTTTAGAGAGAGAGAGAGGGGGCCGGCCACTATTAGAGAGAAGAGAGATTGATTTAATTGTGAGGTGTGTTTGATTCACCCTATTGTGCCTTTATTTATAGTAGTAGGAAGGGTAAAACCTTTCCCTTTAGGATTACAACATTTAATAGGTAATCTAAATCTTAATAGGAATATAAGATATTTTCCCAGATTCCCTAAGATTTACACAATCACATTCCTATTCTAAATATAACTGCAACACATGTCATTTAATTTACAAAATTTTATTTTCAAATTTAATCTTCCTAACATTACTCGTCAACTTTTGTTCGCATGCATAGGAGAAAAGGAGACTTGTTTATCCAAAAAAAAAAGTAAAAAGGGGAATCCCATGCCATGATCAAAGGGGACCAATAATATCAGAACAATAGATCAAACAGATGAGATAATCGATCATTACGCAGAAAACGAATTTGCAGCAAAATATATACAGAGAGTAAAAGAAAGAAGAGGGAATGGCTTCAGCTGCCGTAGACCTGCTGATCGGGAAAGTAGGATTGATCCTCGAAAGCGGTGTGTCTCAGTTAGAAGGAGTTGGTGATGAACTTCAACACCTCATGCGTGAGCTGCTAGCCATGAAATCCTTCTTGGAAGATGCCGAAAGAAGCGGAGCTTTAGGTGAAGTAGAGGAAACATGGATGGGAACTGTGAGGGACGTCTCCATCGATGTTCAAGACATCATTGATGATTTCACATATCACAGAAACATGGAGAAATGTTGGGGTCCATACACAAGAGCCTTTCATCAGACAATTTTCTTCCCCATGAATCTTTGGAAGAGGCATCGCATCGCCACCAAATTGCACAAGATCATCATCAAAGCAATCAAAGCTATTCCGGAAAGAAACCAACTTCGTGGTGTTGATCGTAGCCAAGGCGGCCGTGATTGCGATCACGGCCAAATCAATATCTACGGTGAGTCCTCTCTTTTCTTCAAAGATGATGAACTTGTGGGAATCAAAGATGCTAAAGAAAAGTTAGTTGGATGGTTGCTGTCTGGAGAACCTCAGAGGATCGTAATTTCCGTAGTTGGAATGGGGGGTTCGGGTAAGACAAGCTTGGTTGCGGACACCTTCAACAGTCAAACTGCCAAGTTTGATTGCTACGCGTGGATCACAGTCTCGAAAACTTACAACATCGAATGTCTATTGAGAGTTTTGATAAAAGAACTTTTTGCATCTGCAATGGAACGTGTTCCTCAAGACTTGAGCAGGATGAGCCAAATACAAATGGTGGAATTGCTGGCCAACTATTTGCAGCCAAAGAGGTATGTCATTGTGTTTGACGATGTGTGGGATACTAATCTTTGGAGACAGATAAATGGAGCACTTCCAGATGGAACACATGGAAGCCGGGTCATGCTTACAACTCGGAGAGAAGACATTGCATCCTTTTCATTTGGATTTGGATGCCATATTCATCATGTTCAGCCTCTTAAGGAGAATGAGGCTTGGGTTCTTTTTTCCAAGAAAGCTTTCACTGGCCTGCCTGACAATTGTTGCCCACCAGAGTTTGAACACATTGCTAGAGATCTTGTTGGAAAATGCAAAGGATTACCTCTTGGAATTGCGGCTTTGGGTGCTCTCATGTCAACCAAAAGATTGGCGTCTGAGTGGACAAACTTTTACACTACTTTTAATTGGGAGTTAACCAACAACCCAATGCTTGAAGTAGTAAAGAGAATCTTGATGCTAAGCTATAATGATTTACCTTACCGACTCGAGCATTGTTTCTTATACATGTGCATTTTCCCAGAAGATTATGTGATCGAATGTGACAGGCTTGTTAGACTATGGATGGCAGAGGGGTTTGTGGAAAAAGTTCGATGGGCCAAGCCAGAAGAGCTGGCTGAAAGCTACATAGCAGAGCTCACTTGCCGATGCATGGTACAAGTAGTTAAGAGGGAACCATATGGAAGGGCAAAAGCTTTAAAGATGCATGACCTCTTACTAGAACTTGCTCTTTCAATTTCCGAAGTTGAGAAATTCTGCACCGTCTATAATGAGCAAAAAAAAAATGAAGATAAAAGGACTCCCTATCGGCTCTCAGTGCAAGCAAAGTATGGAAAACAAGCCCACAGAGACATGTCAAGGGTTCGCACATTCTTTATTTTTGCTCCTAATATGACTGATTCTTCTTCAGTTGAAAAGTTGCCATCTGATTTCAAACTCTTGAAGGTAATGGATCTTAGACATGTCCCGATTACTAAACTCCCAGATCAATTAGTGAAGTTCTATAACATGAAGTATTTAAATTTGAAAGGAATGCAAGTGAAAGAACTTCCAAGGGACATAGGGAATCTTCATCATTTGGAAACCCTTGACATTAGGCATTCCAAAATCAGGATGCTTCCAGCAGGAGTTGTGAAGTTACAAAACTTACGGCATCTGTTGATGTATCATTGCAATTTTCAGGATCTTTTTAGGTCTTATTATTTCTTTGATGGCACAAAAGTACCTCAAGGCATATGTAAGCTAGAGAGCTTACAAGTTTGTGATGCTATCGAGTTAGAAGGCACGCTAGTCAAACAACTTCGACAGTTTACCCAACTCACAAGAATGAGCATAACCAATGTGAGAGAGTCAGATGAGGAGGACTTGTGCAAGACACTTGAAAGCATGAAACTCATAGAGCACTTCTTTGTCCATACAAGTAATGAAGATGAGGTTTTACGCTTGGATGCATTGCCATCAGCACCTCCTTTGCTGAAGGCACTTGGTCTAATTGGAAAATTAGAGAAGGTTCCACTTTGGTTTCATTCTCTTTTCAGCCTTACACAATTAAGGTTGCATTGGTCCAGATCAACAAAAGATTTTCTTCCTTACATCCAAACACTACCTAATTTGAGCATACTTCGGCTGAACAATGCATATCTCGGAAATCAATTGGTCTTTCACAGTGGATTTCCAAAGCTGTCTGAATTATACATAATGGAGTTGCCTAAATTGAATGCGATCATCATAGAGAGAGGAGCGATGCCAACACTACAAAGACTTGTAATCACTGAATGCATGGAGTTAAAGCAATTGCCTAATGGAATCGATCATCTTACATGTCTTCAAAGTTTGAGTTTGGTAACTGTTCCCCATGAGCTCGTAGAGCGAATACGCAATGAAGGAAGCTTGGATCGTTCCAAGGTTATGCACATCTCAGACATCAGTTATCACTACAAAACTGAACTCGGGTGGTCTGGGGAAAGATTGAGATCATCTCTACAATGGGTCGTTCAACCCTCAAATACTCCGGTCAGCATTCTATCCCGAGATGGTCTACCTATTTTACCAGGTGATTACTCTTTCTATTTTATTTTTTTTCATTATGCTCCCTTCTTTCAACATGTCCTCTCCTTTTCTATTAATACTTCTACAATTTTTATAGGTAATTAACTGGATCTCAACAAATTAAGTAGCTTGCAATTTGGATTGATCCCTGTTCATCTGCAAATGGAGGAAAGCACTGCAAAATTTGTGTGCTTTCCAAACCCAATGCGATCGTCCAAGACCAAGAATACTTAAATTGTATATGTTGTTAATTTGCAACCGTAATAATCTGTTGGAGACTTCATTCTATGCCTATGAACTCTTTCCTTTCTGCTTGCCACTAGTACAAACAACAGCCATAGTCACCAAATAGATACGACCAAACTCTGACTATTGGTATTGGACGATGCAACTGGCTTTTATTTTTTATTTTTTATTTTTTTTAATTAATTATTATTTTTTTTTTTATGGGGTTCGAATAAATAAACGAGTAACTAATAGTTACGTTTGGATCCACCTGATACTCATTCGTTTTTTATTTTAGTTTTCATTCTTTTTATAGAGTGGAAAGAATGGAATGAGGATCCTCTTCGGATCCTCTTTGTAATAATTCCGAAGAATTCTCCAATCACATCCGTTCATCGTATATCGTACGGTCAGTTTTCATCAGGTACTGTTTATATTTAATTTTAAATAAAAAATGTACAATAATTTATAATCGCACGATGTACGATGAATAGATGTGATTGGAGGATCTCCTTACAAAGAAGATCCGGAGAGGATCATCATTCGAAAGAATGCATACTGAGTAGTGAAGATTGAGGAAGAGTGGATAAATGTTGAAGGGACAGTACGAGTGATATTTTTTTAATATTTTTTTCAAGTTTTTACTAGCAATTGAGCCTGCCCAATGTCGTGGGTTTTAAAAGTGTGTCAAACGTGTGGAATATACTAAATTTATTTTCATCCGTATCAAAATATGTTTACATCCTTATGCTCTCAATAAGAAACAGAAGATAGATGTTTGTAGAATATATCACATAGCAAAAATTGTGGGGTTTAACATCCATATCAAAATCCATTTACATCCTTATGTCTAGTAAGGAACAAAAGATAGGTGTTTGTAGAACATATTACATATCAAAAGTTGGGATTTAAGTTAATACATAGAAAATATCTTTGGTTTTCCATGTCTCAACTTTTCACATTTTTCTATTGCCACTCAGTACTTCACTCTTTTCTTCTTCGTTTTTCTGTAGATGGGGGCGTACAATTTTGTATAGGAAACATGTGATATCATTGTTAGTTGGCAACAAATATGTTAAGTTTAATGTAATGACCCATTTCGAAAATTTCAATTTAATTAGTTAAAATTACGAAAATACTCCTAATGACGAAAAGGTTGACTTTCGTCTGTTGACATGTTATAATTTTTTTCGTTTATTTTATTTTCGTAGCTCTCGTCGATACGAACGTGTAGACACGATCTAAATCGAAATCAGAGATAAAACGAAGTTTCTACGATTTTTGAACGGCAAGGGCATTTTGGTAATTTCACCAGTGGAGATATTTCTCCACTTTGGACCTCTACATGGCTGACACGTGGCGTTTTCTTCCCCATTTCTGGTACCCTTTTTCTTCCCCCGCCCGTGAACTCTCTCTCCCTCTCATTTCAGTGATCCTCTCTTTCTCGAGCATCACACATACATACACACCACAACGACCACACCATTAGCACCATCAACTGGACTTTCTCTTCCCTCCCTCACCTTTCTTTGATCTCACTCTCTCTCTTGTCACACCCCAATCCTGACATACGTCCAGCGTCAACAAGTGACGCCACCAAAAACCCATATATCTAACTTACCTCGCCTCCAGGCTATGAACAAAGCACAACTCAAGTCCCAATTTCATGGTAATTTCTCGTATGCTTTATGGCTGCATCTAACTTCCTCGTTAGACTGTCTACGTAGCCTAAATACGGATCAAACCATTCGTAGTTCACCATTTCAGTAAACTCCTATCACCACTACAAGTCATTACTACATACATGTAAACATAGTAACCCTTATAAGACGTATAGGCACATAGCTTTAGAAAGTGATACATATAGATATGAAGCACTTAATCAAAATAGTAATCACTTGGTTTTGGTTTCAGTGTAGTAATACATATAGATATGTAAACTTATTAAGACACCGATTTTAACATTCAACAAAGAAAGTGATGTATAAACATGAAGTACTTAATCAAAATAGTAATCACACCGAATTGGATTTGTCAAACTATTGATATCTATACCAACCTAACCTTACCAACCAATATAATTTAAATACAATCACAATCAATTACTGTATGCATACCCCTTTCAAATTCTATGTCAAAACATAGAGCCAATAGCACATTAAAAGCAATAATCTAACTATGGTTTGATAATAATTAGCTGGACTAATTGTAGCAAATAAAATAGCTTGTTTTCTTCAAAACCAATCCGATTGGATTGTAAAAATTGAGTGAGGAAGATATGCATGTACAAATACACATGTAGATAAAACCACCTGCATATATTTTCTCTTTATAAGTAATTATGTATTCAGTAGACAATTGTTTGGAAAACAACTAGCTTCCCGAAGTGGACTAGTTGAAATACTTTGCCAAGGGTAGTAATACAACAATATAGCTTTCTGCATAATACAAGTCTTCAGAAACAGGGTTATTAAACAAAACAACCCTTTCGGCTTTTATACCATTCTAGGGTTTAGGCATTTGCATATATATAATACTAGTTTTGCAAACAATAGCTAATCCACGACAGATTAACCGAAAGAAATATTAATAAGAATTAGCTAAACGAAAAGGATAAAGAAAGTTGAGAATATGAACCCATATTGCAGGTTGACATCCCAAGCGAGAAGGATACGAATATCTTCAACTCCCTTCTCTCTGCTCCTAATTAATTTCTAATCCCTTCCTTCCATTTGTCCTTTCTTCTCTTTATTTTTGGGTCGACTAATGGGGAGAAACCAATAAGCTCGTGAGGCTGCTCGTCAGGACTATCTGCACATCCTCTCCCAATTCTCCCCCCCCCCCTTTTTTTTTTCTTTCCTTCTTTCCTTTTTCTCGATCCTTCTCCACCTCTCATTTTTGTTCTTTCTTTATTATTTTATTCTATCATTAATATTTTATATCTAATGCTATTATCTTTTCCACTACTTTACATAAAATGATTTATACGTGTTTCGTAAAATCTTTCTTCGCGCTTATGATCTAATTTTAATAACGAGTGTTGTCAGAATATACTAATTAATATGTCACACGTGTTCTGACCAATAAGTCAATGAAAGTCGACACATACCCTCTAAGGGCATTTTGATCGTTTCACAATTAAAAATAAATAAAATAAAATAAAATTATGGACGGGCTGTAACATCTCTCATTCTCGGCATTGTTGCACAAACACCGTGCTTGTAATCTCCGACGAGATCTCAAGTTTTTCCAACCAAGGTAAGGGCTAAAATGCTCTTAAAACTTCGTAGATTGTGTTTAGGAGTAGGTTAAGGATATTTTTGCGTAGTTTTCGTGGTTGTTGGACGCAGACTCAACTCGAGAACCATTTTCCAGATTTTTCAGGCGAGGTCTGACGGCTTTTGAGCCATTTTCCGGCCACAACTCCAAAACGATATGAATCTCTTACCCTTGTGTCAAGCTTCATTTTGGCTTTTGAATCATTACAAATGGTGTAGAATTGAGCTCGAATGGAGCTCGGGAAAGGTTGCCCAGATATCGGCCGAACCCACAACATGAAACCGGGTCGACCCAACCTGTGACCCAATGACCCTGTCCAAAACCTGGCCCAAACCTTAGGCTTATGTAACCTAAGCCCAAACTAGTACCGGCCCAATGTATTAGCCCTAAACCAGACCCAAACCTTATAGCCCAGGCCTAGTCCTACACTCGGCCCAATCCATTTACCCAAAACCTAAGATACGACCCAGACTTATACCTAGGTTCCTTAGTCGGCCCATGGGCCAGCGCGTGGAGCACATGCACCTCCACCAGAGGTACTATACTATTCCGCTGTCCACAGCGACGCCAACGATTTTTCTGGCGACCCATCTCGGCGCGTGGGGGCTCGTCTGGGAACCCAAGGTTCCTCCTTAGGTTTTTCGACGTGCTGAATCTGAATCCGCTATCCGTTTTCCTAAATTCCATCGTTTTAGTAGAGTTTTATTAAATGGTCTTCATTTGTGTTTAGGTGCATGGGTTGGAAGTGATCTAGTCCTCCTTAGTTCGAGCGGCTATCCGGTAGTGGAATACTTGTGAGTAGACCTCTTCTTAATTGCATTTTTTTTATAAAATATTAGGTTTGCATGCATTTCATATTTCATGACTTGAGTATGTTTTATATTATATTTTTATGGATTTATGGATTTCTATAATTATGATTTGAGGAGAATTTAAGATTTATCTAAATTGCTTTTAAGGAAATATTAATGATTTATCGAATTGACGTTTTACTAAAGGTTATGAATCTTTGGACTTACGTATTTGAAATGCTCTGGATTTACGGATGTGAATTATCATGGATTTATGTGTTAAGGCTTTGAGTTTTTGAGCTCCGAATTTGATGAGTTTTGAGGTATGTTTTCGATGCTTATCGAGCGGGTTATCATACAACACACACACAACCGGGTATGTAGATGTCTATGGTCACAGGACACAGTTGATGATATTGATGACATACCCCCAGCTTCGCTAGCCCGGGGCTAGTGTCGGTGTGATATGTTATATGTATATGTTTCTTCTCCGGCATAACTCAGAGTCGTACAGCTTCACCCTTGGGTGATGGACCCCCCATTTCTTATCTGGCATAATCCAGAGTCGTACAGTTTCACCTTCAGGTGATGGACCCACTGCATATACATATATATGTTATATCTTCTTCTCCGGTGTAACCCGGAGTCGTACAGCTTCACCTTCGAGTGATGGACCATGGTTTCTTCACTAGCGTAACACAGTGTCGTACAGCTTCACTTTTGGTGATGGCTATGCCTTCGGGCCACTATGATACTCCTAGCTGAGTATACCATTGATTTGAGTTATGAGATTCTTGGGTTTTGCCTTCGGTCGTTTCAGTACCACTTTTAGAGATGGTTTTATTGCTACAAATATTTTGGCATGCTAGAGTTTTTGGGAAAAATCTATATGTAGTATTTATTTTATATATGTTTTTAAAATAAGGGGTTAGTACGTTCATAAATAAAATGGTTTTCATATTATTAGTATTATTATAAACTTATGGTCCACTCACCTTTTTTTTGCTCCCCCTCAGG